TGGGACGGTGTCCACAAATTACTTGAAAGATGGGGGAAATGTGTAGCTAGCGATGGACATTACTTTGAATAAAGCACTTTTGATGTTTCTCTTAAAATTATTGTGTTTTCTTTGATTACAAACTCTGCATTATTAACCGATACACCTAGTAAGTGGAACAACAAGTCAGTGTTTCTCTCTCCTCCCTCCCACTTTCTGTCTCTCTTAAATCAATAAAAATTTGTTTAAAATAAGTTATTACAAGCTATGGGCTGCCTTCACTAGTACTGATAACACATTCTTCTACATTCCTTGCTCTTGGATTGCAGTGCATACATGACACCACATAATGGAATAGTGTTTGATTTTTATAATGACCTTCATGTTGACCCCAACAATACCCCAATTTGGAAGTAATTAGAACAAGATAAATTATAGAAAGCTCAGAAAAACTTGATGTCATAATATTGGCTTTTGATATTCTACATAGCTCTTATTTGCCTCTTTTTAATATTTTTTTCTAGGAATTTCCACAATGAATTAAGAGAATTGCCACTGAAATGCTAGCAGTGTAACTTAAACCCAAATATACTGAACTAGACTTAGGAATTAGGTTTTTCTGGTAAATTATTACAGCTCTACTTAGTTATCTCCATAGTACTTTAAAAGAAAAATACAACAATCTCACATAATGAGCAAGATCTTTATATTCCCAAGGAACAAAACCACAACAAAAGAGTAGAAAACATTTAAGAATGTATATTTATGTTTGTTGGAAATTTAAAGCTATTATTAGTTAATACTTGTGTAATTAAAGTAGAACAAAAAAAAAGAATGAAATGTACTTTGAAATAATATTCATATACCGTATTGAGTTTTTAAGCTTATTACAGTACACACAAAGCAAAGTATAATTTTTCAAGTCCAAAATGGTCAATGTTAGAAGTTATTTAATCTGGGGGGCCTTTTAAAAGAACTACTTTTCTGACCCCCAAACCCTCTCCAATTACCAACAACAAATTATAGGCAAATTATAGCTTTACTTACCCCTCACTCCCCACAGTGTTCTAGGATTCAAATAGCTCTGATAAGAAGAAGAGATAAAGAGATTTATTTTAAAGCATTTCATAGATCAGCAAAGAATTTTTAAAAATATTTTGAGCAAATATATTTTCTCTGGCAATAGCGCTGAAACATCTTCAATCTTTGGCTATTTCTATTGATTGTTTACAGAGAGGAAGGGAGAGGGATAGAGAGCTAGAAACATCCATGAGAGAGAAACATCAATCAGTTGCCATGCCCTTGACCAGAATCGAACCCGGGACCCTTCAGTCCGCAGGCTGACGCTCTGTTCACCGAGCCAAACCGGTCAGGGCCTTTGGCTATCTCTAACCCCTAAAGAATACTCTTAGGTAGTAGTACTGATTTTGCCATTTTAAATATACATCCCGGTTTTTTATATTGGTTCCTCTTCCTGAGATTACTATTAATTCAGGATTATATGAAAAGAAGCTGCTATAAGCAGAATATAAAAGGAAAACGTGGAACCATTCAATAGAAAATGATAAACAGTTTTGGATAAATTCCAACAACCATAACATAGACCAAAGTAAATAAGACTTTAGTGATTTTACCATTGAAGAACCACAAATAGCATGCCAAAACAAACACTGTATGCATTAATTGACAGGATTTATCTTTATAAAGCAACTAGAGGCCTGATGCACGAAATTGGTGCAAGGGGCTCTGCCCTCGCAGCCCCGGCTTTGTCCGGAAGGTTGTTCAGCTGTCTGGTCTAATCAGCATATTACACTTTTATTATTATAGATACTTAACTATTTTGCTTAATTAGTTCTTTTATAAGTATAAAAATTGCCAAACTTTTGTTGTTACTTTCTAGCATAATTTCTTTTTTCTAGATAGGAAGAGTGGGAACCAGGCAAGGTATTTTTATACTGAGGGGTCAATCGCCATTTAAAATTCCCATAACCTAGGTGTTGGGAAGCATCTGAACTAAGTCTATATGTTGCCCTGCACCATTTCCCAGCGAGCACCAGGTGACTGGAAAATGACCAGAATGACCCAGGTTATAATCTTAATGGAGTACATTAAATAATGATATTTTCTAAAATACCAAACAGACCTTTCTTTAAAAAAAATGTTATAACTTTCTTGCATTTAAAATAAAAATCTTAGTTTTCAAATGCAACTTAAAGTAATCTATAATAATAAAAGCATAATATGCTAATTAGACTGGATGTCCTTCTGGACAACAACTTTCCGGATGAAGCCAGGGCTGTGAGGGCAGAGCCCCTTGCACGAATTTCGTGCATCAGGCCTCTAATTATTTAATAAATTAATTGGGAAGGAAATTGCTATTTTTACTACACGGTAAATAGCCTTTTGCTTTATCAAATAAATACACGAAAGCACTTTGAAAATT